AGACAATAAAAGAAGGAGAATTAAGAAGACAGAAGATAACGATTGACATTGCATTTAAATGTTTGAAGATCAAAGGCAATAAAGCCACTAGGATACAATGGGTTACTGAGTGTTAGAGAACATGAGAAAAACTACTATTAAAGATAGAGAGCAATAAAAGAAGAATTAAGAAGACAGGAGATAACGATTGACTTTGCATTTCAATTTTTGACGATCAAAATTGACCTGGAAGCAAAAAGCCAGAAGTGAATTCCACAAGCGAGAAGTACGAGAGAAGAAACTGTTAGCATAGAACTTACGTCTAGCCATTTCAACCATAAAATGATGAGACCTAGCCGCCAATCTAGTACTGTGCTTAAATTCATAAGATCTCGGTACAATAGAGAAAAATACACCAGAACAATTATCATGAAAGTACTTATACCAATTATTATGAAAGTACTTATATCAATTATCATGAAAGTAATTATACCTTCCAAAAACTAAACAAAGTATTAAGAAATAGGAAAATTTTCGTTAGACACAAAGAAAAGGGGAAAACCTATTAAATATTTTTATTTTTTTCATCTTTTCTTAATTTAAAACAACATTACAGTTTATGTAGTTTTCGACCTTCTTATATGAACGGAAGTCCTACGATTGTATATTTCTGAGATATTTCGGATTTGTGCAAAGACACTTTGGTGTGCTGTGACCATTGCATTCACTTTCGCGCAAATACCCTTGGAAATATATGACTCCATCCCTTCAAGCTAAGTGATAACTGGGCTTCTAGGTTTGATTTGTAACCAGTAGGGGAGAAGAACAAATCTGAATCAGAAACGAATTGGGGTAGGGGTTAGCAACTCTACTCAATAAAATCTTGATTTTCATTGATTTGTCTGTTTAACGACATATCAACTCCTTTGTGGGTCATTTAATTTCGAAATTTAATTTTATTGGGTGAGTATGCAACTATGAAATGACCAAAGATTTAGAAGTCATTTGAAATTTTGTAAAAGCATTTATGTCGCACCCTGTAGATTAAACAAAAGCGTTTGATGATTAAAGTCAGAAAGAACTGTTTCAACTGCTATGTAGGATTAATTTATATGGGAAGGATATTAGGATAATCCAGGATTTATTCTGGAAGAAAACCACTTTCATGCGGAGAGAAAATAAATTCAGCAAATACAAAAATAAAAAAGGGCGTGAGACAACGGTGGGTCTTCTCACCGGACTTATTCAACCTTTACAGTGAGGCGATACTAAGAGAATTAGAAGTCCTAACAGGATTCATTATTGGCGGCACTAACTTAACGACATAATATAACACAGTGTTTGAGAAATCGGAGAGCCGAGTTCAAATTCCAGTCGAATCCATTACATTCACTTACATGCTAATACCCTTGGGAAAGGTATGAATCCTCTTCTTCTAAAGCTATAGGTAAATAGCAGGAAATACCGGGTTCTGTAGCCTTGGATGGCAACTGGTCTACTGCAGAAAGAAATAGTAACCTACTGAGGGAAAAAATCTACCTTATCAGTCATGTATCGAAAGATACATGATCGCCTAAGCGTGTATCACGCATAGCACATAACTGACTGTTGATAGGAGGAACAGAAAAGAAGCTACAGGAACTCCTAGAGAATGTAGAAAATCGAGAAGAAAGGACTAACCATTAATTTTAAGAATGCTTAATTGTCAGCAAAAGAAACAGCACAAAATGTCAACTCTGAATTAGAAACCAAAATCAAGCAAGTATCAGAATTTACATGAGGCGTTTTAACAGAAGACGGAAATGTGGAACCGAAATCTGAAGACGCTTTGGAATTGGGAAAGATTCCTTCCAAAAGCTAAGCAAAGTATGAAGAAACTGAAAACGTTACAAATAAACAAAAGAGTACCAGTCACTTAGGTAATATCTGTTCTCCTATATGTCAGTGACTACATTCGGCAGCAAGACCTCTGATTGGAGGTCTTGAGGACCGTGGAACCATCTCTTAATTGCTGTTGTTCCCTGGTCCACTCTGACCCGGAGTGGTAGCACCTGTTAGGGTCCCGGCTATGGTCAAATAGTTAATCTCCAAACAAAGAAAAACACTAGGAAATTATTTTAAAAAATACCAGCAAAAACATTTTTCTAAAAAACTTACCAACAATGAATTTTTGTAGTGAGATTCCCAGCAGTCCATTTTCATAGTAAAATGACCAATAATGCAACACTATAAAAATGAATTTTTAAGCAACATTTCAAGCAGAATGTTTTTCATCTATTTTGTGATGTCAACGAATACTCGTTGTAACTTTTGTGATGTCAACGAATACTCGTTGTAACTTTTGTGATGTCAACGAATACTCACTGTCACTTTCGTAATGTCCGTTGTAGTAGAGACTTTGTAATCGCAGATACAACTATAGTAACGCCGTTGAACAATACTAGTGTCAGACGCCATCGAATATCACTCGCACTAATAGTACTTGCTCGATAATACTCGCTCGAATAGTAACTACAGAATAGTGATCTAAATAGTAATCCATATAGTGGTCACTTAGATGCCATGCTAATTCATATATATATATATTTCCTTTACTATCACGTGATCTACTTATTTAAAATGGGATCGCCTGTCTTTGCTCTCTGGTGATCTGTGTTCAAACTCAAGTGTCGGCAGTGACATTTTATTTCTATATATAACACGTTGTTATTTTTTGATTTCTTTTTTACAAATGGAATAAGGATAAAAATATTTTAGTGAAGTAAATTTTATTAAAATCTTAGTTTATTTCATTGTTTTATGATGTCAGCGAAGATTCGTTGTCACTTTTGTGATGTCAACGAATACTCGTTGCCACTTTCGTAATGTTCGTTGTAGTAGAGACTTTGTAATCGCATATGCAACTATAGTACGCCGTTGAACAATACTGGTGTCAGACACTTTTGAATAACACTCACACTAAAAGTACTTGTTCCATAATACTCGCTTGAATAATAACCACTGAATAGTGATCAGTATAGAGAAACAGTATAGTGTATAGAGTAGGGAATAGCGTTCCATATAGTAATAAAAGATAGAATAGAAATACAGATCCGAATATTAATAGAGGATAGAATAGAAATGACGATCAATCAAGACGTTACGTGACTTCCTACTTATACGTTTCCTCTATGGTCACGTGATCCACTTAATTCAATAATGGGTAGCGACATTTTATTTCTGTATAACAATCTACAAACTATATATCTAAAAAAGATACGTTTGCCTTGATATTATAAAATTATGTACAAAATATCTATAGTTGAAGGCATACAAAATACGTTCAATTGAAGCCATAAAATTGGGGTCAAAATATTTAGATTTCTGCATTGAATAAACCTATGCCGCTAAACAAAAACAAGCAAGCATATGGCAAACTCTCCTCACAGATGAAGAGTCTTGAGCCAACCAATGTAGTCCTACGGAAGGATGCTGAAAATACCACTGGCTGAACATGTGAGTAAGGACTAAGTTTTAGGGAAAATGGAAACAAAAGAGGCACATACTTAAAAATCACAAAAAGACATTGAAATTTCTTGAGCACATAAAGAGGAAAGAGAGCTGGGAGAATATAACACTCAAAAGAATATATTGCAGACAAAAGCGGAAAAAAGGAAAGCACCGAATAACCTATATAACGAGCTTATGTAAATAGTTGGCAGAACGGGGATTGGGAGAGATCGCAAAAAGACAAATCGTACTAACACCTACAAAGAGTAGGAAGTTGTGGAGAGCCATGGCCGCCCAAGTCCTGAAGGACACACGGCACATAGAAGAAGAACGAGCTTGTGTAAATAGTTTGCTGATTAGGAGAGATAGCAAAAAGACAAAATTTACTAAGAGCTACATAGGATGGGAAGTTGTGGAGAGACATGGTCGCCCACGTCCTGATGGAACACGGCACATAGAAGAAGAAGAAGAAGAAGAAGAAGAAGAAGAAGAAGAAGAAGAACGAGCTTATGTAAATGGTTGGCAGAACGGGGATTAGGAGAGATAGCAAAAAGACAAACCGTAGTAAGAGCTACAAAGGATAGGAAGTTGTGGAGAGCCATTGTCGCCGACGCCTTGAAGAACCATAGTACATAGAAGAAAACTGGCCTTATATTTGTTTAAATAAAACATAGAACTCTAGGTCTTCCTCAAATGTATATTATTTGCAACGGATTTTAAAAATAACTTCACGTGACAAAATAACCATCAAAGATCTTTCGAAAATGATCGGATTAATTAAAGTATTGAATCCCAGAACATCGACAAAGTCATTGGCGACATTACAACTAGTCGCCTAATAATCGTCTACCAATACAATACAATACAAATCAAAAATATGTCTATAACTATCCCAAACTTAACCCGTAATCAAAATATAAAGCGATCAACATCTTTACCAGATGTGCTAAGAGCTGCACCCTTGCTTCAATTAGTGCATTGTCTGTTATAATGCTCCATACATTGACCCACATTTGAGATGTTTGAGTTATTTTTGAGTGAACTAGTTGTGAAAAGAGGAAAGATGGGCGCATGCGTGGTAATATGGTTATTATTTCCGCTTTTAATTGATTATTTAGCATGGATTCGTCAGCAGTGGGAACCGCAGGTGGAGAGAAAAATGGCGGCTTGTTTGTTCGTCTGCTTATTTTGTTTAAAGGTATTTCTTCTGTGGTCTCAGCTTTTCAATTTTGCAGATTGATTCATGAAGAAAAGGCTCAAGGCACCGCTGCTAACGAACAAAACAAAGCTGTTTTTTTAATACCGAGTACATTCTTTCTTTCTTTCTTTCTTTCTTTCTTTCTTTATTTATTTATTTATTTATTTATTTATTTATTTATTTTCTTTCTTTCTTTCTTTCTTTATTTTCTTTCTTTTTTTTTTTTTTTTTTCTTTCTTTTATTTATTTCTTTTTTCTTTTTTTTTTTATTTATATATATATATATATATATATATATATATATATATATATTTATATGAATATATTTTTAACTATGTATTTACCTGAATATATTGATAATTATCTACCTATCTATCTATCTATCTATCTATCTATCTATCTGTATATATATTCATTTCTATCTTTCTTTCTATCTATTACAATGTTTCTATCTATCAATCCATCTATCTCTGCCTCTCCTCTCTCTCTCTCTCTATCTATCTATCTATATACTTATATATGTCCATTTCTATTTACTTTTTACAATTTATATCTATCTATTTATCTATCTATCAATCTATCTATCTATCTATCTCAATATGTTTCTATCTACCTACCTATCTTGTCCTTCTCCTTCCCTCCTTCCATTTTTTTTCTAAAATTTTTCTTACCTCAATTTTACCACTCCATATTAATTCTCGTCTCCTCCTCTCTCTCTCTCTCTCTCTCTCTCTCTTCCGCATTTTCTTTCCTCTTTACATCCTGTCTTTTTATCTACCGATTTACCCCTCTTTAACCTCTGCTTCAACTCCCTTCTCCTCTTTCTTTCTTTCTTTCTTTCTTTCTTTCTTTCTTTCTTTCTTTCTCGATGCCATGTTGAATTTCATGAACACAGTGTTCAGTGTCCGTTGCTGTGGAACGAACAAAATATTATGTAATAAAATTGCTTTAACATGTGTCGCATGGGACAGTGAGAGTATGGATGACCAAAAAGTAACATAATCTCATATTACACACTATGGTGAAACTATATTCCTCAAATTAAAATACATTCATATGACGAGCAGTCCTCTAGTATTTCAACATATCTGTGTGACGGCTGAATTCCAACCGCCATCCAAACCTAAACTTAAAAAATAAAGAAATACGCTGATTTTCTAGGCAACTAGGTTCAATCTATATGTACAGAGCAATTTGGGGCAACCGTAACCAAAATTGTTCTATCAGCTCTCGGCACAATCAAATAAACAATAAACAACTGGGGTAGTTTTCATTATTGTACCAAGAACGTCATCATTTCATTCACTTAGAGCATTTTGCACCGCCGCTCTGGTCACCACTCCTCTCCGTCTCACAGTTTTGGTTCCGTTTTTTTAAGCATTTCACCCCAAGAAAGGTGCGATTGCCACTAGCACGCAAGGGGTTACAGAGAGTGGAAGCAAGAGTAAAGAGTCATGAAAGAGGAAAGGATGAAGAGGACAGGGAATAGATCAAAGCGTCTGAAGATGTTGATTGACATTGCATTTGAATAATTGAAGATTATATCTATCAGGGAAGCAAACAAGAGGAAGGGAGTTCCACAGACAGGAAGTGCGAGACATGAAGTTATTGGAGTAGAAGAGACGGCTACATTTAACCGTTTCGGCAGTGAAAGGATGGGATTGAGATGCCAACCTAGTTGCACGTTTAAATTCATGCAGTTTGAGAACCAGCGAAATTAGCTCATCGGGGCAGTTACCGTAAAGTTATTTGTAGTAAATACAGAGGGAGGCGACAGCACGTCTGTGAGAAGGCCATTGTAAGCGAGATGCCAGATCAGGGCCAATCACATTACATATCCGTCTCTGGATTTTGTCGAGGACCTTAAGACGAACAGTGGGGGGATCCAGGCCATATATGGCAGCAGTATTCCATGCGAGGGCGAATGGTTGATTTATAGATTTGCAGGACGAACTCGGACGAGAAAAACCTTCTGGCGCGACACAGGGAACCAACTTTTCTTTGCGGTGGATGAAGCTATTGATTCAATGTATTTGTTCCATCTCAGGCCAGCGGACAGTGTGAGACCAAACTGTCGCAGAGAGGCGCTCTCGTGGCGTTGAGCATCAGGCATTCTAATGGGAGGCAGGGAGGATTTTTTTTGTGGTGGGTAAAAGGGAGCCTTTTTGTTGGGGGGGGGATTATTGCGATATTCAAGTCAGAATAGTGCAATGGCTTACAGATTCATTTTGAAGTCGGTATACTCAAGTTACCCTTGTCTAGTTAAAGAGGCGAGACCAGCAGGTGGTTGTGAATTCAGTTTTCCTTCTTCTAGACTGGTTGCCAACCAAGGCCCTTGTCTGTTCAGCTATTTACCCATAGCTGTAAGGGGTAAAAGATATAGATTCCTACGTTTCCCAATGATATTAGCACGTAAATGTAATGAACTCGATTGGAATTCGAATGGCTCTCCGATTCCTCAATCCGAGCCGCTAGCTGTATGTACGTTTGTGTGTGTGCGTTTATATATATACCTGTGTGTGTAATTTTGTATATGAATATGTATGTGCTCGAGAGTATACCCCCACCACCCCAAAAAATCGATCTTCGAAGGTATTGTATGCAAATGAATCCGGTTTTCAAAGAATCTGCATGTATCGGGGTCGTGACCTGCATTACTGGCCACCGAATGCAGAAATACGTAACCTCACACTCTGCATCATGTTTTGCAAACGTGGGGACGAAAATGTTGACTTTATATATACATAAACAACCGCCTTAGAGATAATTTAATCAGTTTCTCACACATCGCCGTCGGAGAATGTAAGGTCCACATAGCGGATGATGACGCTAGGCTCACACCATAGATTAACGAGAGTAACTGACGGAATACTAAAGGAGAAGGTCTGTTGTAATAGAGTATTTCTCCAATAATTGTAAATATATCGAGAGAGAAAACAAGATTTATATGATATATTTAATCGAGATGGATAGTTAATAACAGACATAGATATATATGAACAGGGTTAGATAGATAGATAGAAAGAAAGAAAGAAAGAAAGAAAGAAAGAAACATAGGCTAACAATGACCAACAGACTGACAAGTGGATATATTAAGAGGCTGTGATGACTGATTGTATTTTTAAAAGGACGATGGCCTTTACCTGGCGACCTTTTCTCTTTTTTGTCGGTCTATCTTGAGGAAATCTAACCGTAAAGTTAAAAAAAAAAAAAAAAAAAGCAAAACATTGATAGCAGATGAGAAAATTTCTTTGGCATTAGAGCATGTCGAGAAACGTCAGACATTGTCTCTTCATCCATTCTGCGAGGAAATGTCAGCCATTCATTTTTTTTTATTACACTGTCGCGATATTTATAAGAGTCGCTGTGCCTGAGATGAGATTCCCGTGTTGTATATAATTCAGCATCTCTCTCAGGAAGATTTCTTTTTTAATGTCATATCCCTTCAGGACGTAGGTGAGCATGAATATCCATAGATTCTGTTTCTGACAAATTTTAACTTAGGATCACGAAAAAAAAATGTGTATGACAAAAGGTTTCTCTTGACAACGTTATGAGCGTATACACCCTCATTGATTTTTAATTATTTTAAAAGTTGTTTTTAAAATTATAATGAAACCAACTAACTTTATACATTTTTTCTCGAGAACTGTCAGCAAAAATGTTAAATGCTATTTATTTATTCCCGTGTTCATTTACAAGATATAATCATTAGAAGATTATAACAGAAAGATGTCAGAACGCATACAATATTTTTACAAGAGTTATTTAAATTATGAAAACACAATTTGTTACACGATTATTATCATTTTAAACGCTATTTTTAGTGGGTACTCGTATTTCAGTAAACGCTCTGTTTGTTTATTAAACAGAATATTCGAAAAATCAGATTATATATATATATATATATATATATATATATATATGCTCTCTATAACCATAGAGAAGGGCGAAGACTTTTTTGATTGGAGTTTTTGTTCACCTCTGCTGTGGCCAGGTATTGAACTCACAACTCTTTAGGTCAAATCACTTTTTGGATTACTTCAACCAACGCTTTTATCCACTGGGTCCTTGGGGACATCAGTGTATGAATTTTTGGTACTTATGAACCAAATGTTTCAGTAATCATTTTTTATCAGAACTCATATTACAATTTTTGATATCTGTATTACTGATTCTCATATTTCTATGGTTAGAAGATTTTTGTGGTCTAGCATATGCGCTGATTCCTTAAGTTTTCGTATTTTCCAGTGATGTTTTCAGTCTATTATTTCAACTTCATCCCACAGAGGGCAATGATCTCCCTTTTCCCAGCCATGCACGATTTTTCTATTTCCTCCTCGTCTTACAGACTTCCGGTGTTCCTGCAGTCTTATCTTAAGTGGACGCCATGTTTCGCCTTTATATTCCTTGCCACAACTGCACGGGATTTTACAATCCTCATTTCAGTAATATAGACTCAGTTAAAATGTTATATGAAACAACTTCTTAATAAAAATCCCGTGCTGTACATAATTCAACATCTCTCTCAGGAAGATTTCTTTTTTAATGCCATATCCCTTCAGGACGTAGGTGAGCATGAATGTCGGCAGATTCTGTTTTTGACAAATTTTAAATTAGGATCACGAAAAAAAAAAAAATAAAAACAATGTGTCAAAAGAACAATGTTTCTCTTAACAACGCAATCATGAGAATTTTGTTTAAATCTACTTTTAGAATTACAGTATAATCCATCATATTCGGAATCCCTAATATCCGGAGTGTCACATATTCGGAATCCCGCATATACGGACATGATTTTGATGTGTATATTTGAATTATTTGGGTGATATGTCACATGGTTGAAATTTCTGTTTTTCAGGAAATTTATTTTGGATAATTACTTATGCTTATTTCACCCTAATGTCTTCTATTGGTGCAAAAGATGATGGGAATAAGAGGAAAGGTTGACAACGAGACACATCTGCAACAAGATAGCGACGAGATGCATGATTGTGATGAAACTTGGACTGAAATTGAAAAAGCTATTGAAAAGTTTCTCAGTTTTATGGAAAGAAAGCCAGCATTCAGCCATGACGATTGCAATAATGCACGCAGTGTTAAAAAGTGCCTTTCGTTTAAAAAATTTCAAGAACAAAAGCAAAACGAAATGCAGAAAAAGTTGAGAATGACATTAAAAGAGAAAGAATCATAATGCAACAAAGATTAAAAAATCCTCGTTACATTATTTGTTTTGCATAAGTGACATACTTAATTTAATGAATTTTCATGAACATTACATAATTTATTTCTTTTTCCTTAAAATCAGTTCCGTTATATTTCACTCACCATTAGCTTATTTTGTTATAAAACATTGAAAATAAATGTTAAACCTGATTTCAGTTCTTTTATTTTAATCTGAAAATAACCTCTCATATCCGGACTTTGTAACCAATTCCTCATATCCGGAAGGCCTTCTTAGTCTGGTTGTCAGAAATTCTACTGGATAATAAAACCAACTGAATTTTATACATTTTTTTCGCGAGAACTGATAGCAAAAAAAAAAAAATGTTTCATTTTCGGACGAATTTTTTTATTTGTTTCTAATATAGTAACTAAGAAATTAGGGTACCTTGAAGTACCCGAGTGGTATGCATCACTTTATCAGACGTATGAGTTGATAATTTGACTCGTTTCAAGCTCAGAAGGTCATAAAAAGAATCATGATTGACCTATAAACACGTCTGTAGCTGGTTGTTGAATATTATTTGGAACGCGTTTATTCGTCCCTATCTAAAATAAGGTACTTTCGGTAAAAAAAAAAAAAAAAAAATAAAGTATATACCCGTCCACGTCTGGGAAGGGTTTAAACGGTATATTTATTTATTTTCGTCTACCGGCCTGAATGTTCGAGAAATCTTATAAAAGAAAAATTGGCTATCTCCAGTATGATTCGAACATACGTCCCCCAGGGCAGAAAAACCGTTTGAATCCAACCAGCACCAATTTTTGTTTCATAAGATTTTGGTAGAAGAAAATAAATAAATAAATGGTTTAATAGATAAACGGGGCGTCTACTCAAACACGAATATCCTTAAAATGCGATAATCCTTAATATCCTTAATGCGATAAAAATCTTTCGGATTAAACGATTATAAAATAATTCACAATTAAAATAATTTTATATTTACAAAATAAAAAAATAAGTGAACAAGCTATAAGGAAATATTTATTATCGATTATATATTTTCATATTAATTTCTTGATAATAATCAGAAAATTACTATAGAAATATATTTTTATTCATAAAATTATAAAAATGATTATGAAATATACAAGAAAATTTAAATAGCCATATAATGGCGAATAAATGTCTTTTTTAAAATTTTTCGCCTCAAGCAAGGCAATAAAGCCACGAAGAAACAAGGGGGTTACTGAGAGTGAAAGAAATAAAAGAACACGATCCAAGTAGGCAGAAGATGGCGATCGGCATTGCATTTAAATTTTTTTGAAGATCGTAGTTGACAGGAAAGTAAGAAGCCGGAAGACTATTGTTCTCACCCTTGTTGTTAGCGCGACGCTTCGGTCGTTGTACCCTCCTGCCTTCATCAGTTGTATATTGATCCAGATAACCTACAGGGAAATCCGAACTGAACACTTTATTTACTCTACTACTTTAGACTGATCCGTTCCCCCTTCCACTGACCATGTCTAAGGATATCTCGTCTAGTTTGATTTTAAGTAATGCTCAGTTATTACTCACCTTGTTCCCACTGTTTCTAAGTACACAAATCCCGGCCCAGGGATTGAACTCACAATTACTAGGTCACTAAATTCACGAACAGACGAATCGCTAGGCTATTGTCCCGTAGGATTAAAGTTAAAAGTGTTGCGCTTAAATTCGTGAAGTCGATGTACCAAAGAGAACTCACCAGAAGAATTGTTGTGAAAACATTTATAGAAAAGAAAAACAGAGTAACTAGGTTAAGGTGATGGAAAACTCAATGAAGCTGAATTATACATTAAAAAAAAATAGAATTTTCCGGCCATTTATTTCATTTGCTCTCGTCACAAAGGAAAAAGGTATAAATCCAGTTTCATATGTTGTGATCAGGGACGACGCGTACTACGCCAGAACCCCATCACCACCACCACCCAAAAAAAAACCTTTGTAAGCAGTGCTTTGTGACTCACGTTATTTTATCACAATTTGCTTTTTTTCTATCTACATTTATATACGCTAAAAATAAAAATCTGAATAATTGACAATTAAAGGAAGTAAAATTTTAACGCCATTCTGGGGATCATTTTGTTTTTTGTCCCAATCCATGAATTTTTTTCTCGGAAAGAAAAACACGATATAAAATTCCTTATATTTTTATCCATAATTTTGAAGGTGTAAAAATTCTTCAACTTTTTAACAATAGAAATCTCAAGTTCATATTTAAAATTGTTGATTTGTTTAAGATGGAAGTAACTATTTATGTGAGGTCTCTTAATTTTTATTTAGATACATTGGATTTATTTTCAATTTTTCTAGTTGAACTATTCACTTATATTGCATATGATCCATTATTGTACATAATTAGGTTACAACAAAATTTGTATTTTATATGAATACTGCCTCAGGAAAATTGAAACGTAGTAGAGTGGGGGGGTCATAGATTCAGGGAGTGGCACTCGACCCTTGCACAAGCCTTGGATATCTTGGTACAATTTGAGTGAAGAAATGGCGAAGAAGTCATACAATTTTTAAAGAAAAGAAAAGAAAGAAAAATCTCGTGTAGATGTTAAAAATGGACGCAAATCATCGTTGATTTATTTAAGATGATCGATCTATTATGACATGTCTCTAATTTGTATTGGATTTATTTTCAATTTTTCTAGTTGAATTGTTCACCTTTTTGCATATGATCCATTATTTATACATAATGAGGTTACAATAAAATGTGTATTTTATCTGAATACTACCTTCTGAAAATGGAGATGTGGTAGAGTTGGGGGCCTCGAAATCATAGAGGAGGGCATGAGACCCATGCACCGTCTCTGGTTGTGATTTTATTAAAATTCTAAAAATAACTTTTTAAAACAATAAAAATTTCCGAGAGAGAAAGGCGTCAAGAGAAAACGTCTTTTGAAACAAGGTTTTTTTTTTCACTTGGTTCTGATATAAACTCTGCCAAGAGATGTTTTCATCCTTTGTGAATCGGCTTGACATCTTGGGAATGATAGTGGAGAGGCTTCCATTTGCGTTTTCCATAGTTTTCATTCTCTTAGACTGGCTGCCTGCCACCCAAGGCTAGATAATCCACGCTATTTAACCCATAACTGGGGGGTAAAATAGATTAATTCATGTCCTTCGATAAGAGTATTTCTGAACGCAAATAACTAGGCCAGAATTTAAACTGGTACCATAGATTCTACGTTCAATCCCAGTCAAATCGCCCGCACATTGTCTTGGGAAGAGTAAAGACCACAAAAAAGACAAATTTCTTCAATTGCCGAAAACGAATCTTAAGCATTTTATTCTTTTATTTACATTATTTGCATTCGGATTATTTATTGATATTATCACAACGTTTCCACTATTGTGCACTCCGGCCTTCTTCAGGTTTATATTGATCTTTAGGAAATTTCGAGATGAAATCTTTATTCAATCTACGAAGCCAGATTTTTATTGTTGTCCATGTCTGGGGATATCTTGTACTTTTTTTTCAATATTGGACATGGACAGCGAATCGGGAACTGTCGGCCTTGTTAGACTGAATAAAGTGTTGATGGATTAGTCGCTACATAAATTAATTAGGTTAGATTGAGTTGCTTATAGCCATATCACGTTGAAACACCGCTTCTTGCACGGTCACCGAAGTTAAGCAACGTCGAATCTAGATGGGTGACCGCTTGTGAATACCAGGTGCTGTAAGCTTGGATTTTGCGTGTGGTATGTCTTATGGCCATATCACTTTAATACGCCGGTTCACGTCAGATGAACGAAGTTAAGCAAAGTCAAGCCTGGTCAGTACTTAGATGGGTAACCGCTTAGGAACACCAGGGGCTGTAAGTTTGGATGTGCGTTTCGTATGCCTTACGGTCATATATCGTGTTGATACACCGGTTCTCGTACGATCACCGAAGTTAAACAACGTCGAGTCTGGTCAGTACCTAGATGGGTGACCATATGGGAACACCAGGGGCTGTAAGCTTGGATTTTGCGTGTAGTACGGCTTATGGCCATATCACGTTGAAACACTGGTTCACGTCAGATCAACGAGGTTAAGCAACGTCGAGCCTGGTCAATACATAGATACTGTAAGCTTACAAACTGTAAAGTGGCCTATTTTATTGGCTAAGAAAAATATCCCAGCATGGGGGATTTCTGCCTATATTCCTTTAATATCACTTATTATTTTGTTTCTGTTTTCGGTTTTTCTTTTTTCTTACTTTCCATTGTTTAGTATCGCTTATTTCTTTCGTTCTTTCTTTCTTTCTTTCTGTCCATTGTTTAGTATTGCTTCTTTCTTTCTTTCTTTCTTTCTTTCTTTCTTTCTTTCCAATGTTTAGTATCGCTTCTTTCTTTCTTTCTTTCTTTCTTTTTTTTTTTCATTTTTTATCTTTTTCTTTGTTTAGTTTCTTTCTTTCTTTCTTTCTTTTTCCAATGTTTAGTATCGCTTCTTTCTTTCTTTCTTTCTTTCTTTCTTTCTTTCTTTCCATTGTTTAGTATCGCTTCTTTCTTTCTTTCTTTCTTTCTTTCTTTCTTTCTTTCTTTCTTTCTTTCCATTGTTTAGTATCGCTTCTTTCTTTCTTTCCATTGTTTAGTATCGCTTATTTCTTTCCTTTCTTTCTTTCTGTCTTTCTTTCTTTGATATCACTCATTATTTTCTTTCTTTTTCTATTGTTTAGCATCGATTAGTTATTTTCTTTTTTCACCTTCCCCCTTCTTTCTTTCTTTTTATTTCTTTCTTTCTTTCTTTCTTTCTTTCTTTCTTTCTTTCTTTGAATTGGTCTACATTATCCCGTGAAAGTAAGAAAGTGCCCCCCATCTCTCTTTTCGGCCGACAGTATTGAGAAAGTCCGAACATTGAATAACATGCAATGTTATGTCAATATCGAGTTTTTCTTCATCAACAAGACAATAACGTTAGAATTGGAAAGATTTGCCCAAATGAATATTTTGTCTTATTCTGAAGAATTTCTACTCATCAGAGGTTTCGAATGACGTCCATGGTGTTTTTGTAATGGCTGTACATTAAGCGGCAAGAGTTTTTGTTAAAGCCGGTAGATAGAGAATTATTTTTACGGGAAAAGTTAAGCAGGAGATCAAACCCGTTAAAAGGCAATAAAGATTCGTGAGAGAGAAAAACAAAATCTCTAGAGAATTTCTCATGTGCAATTGAAAAGAAAGAAGGAAAATATTAAGAAAGAAAATAATAAGTGATAAGAAAGAAAAAGAAAGAAAAAAGGTTATGAAGGTGAAAAAGAAAAAAGTAAATAATAAGCAATATTAAGCAACCGAAAAAAACAAAGAAAGGATGTAAAAGAAAGAAAGAAAAACGAAAATCAGAGAAAGAAAGGGGAAAAAATGGATTAAAGATGTAAGGGAAAAAAAGAAATAAAGGACAAGAAAGAAAGAAAGAAAGAAAGAAAGAAAAAGAGAAAGAAAACGAGAAAGAAAGAAAACTAAAATGTTGGTTTCGCGAAAAGTCAGAAACGATTAACTGGCGCTGAAACTCTTTTATTAAATAAGATACAAAGAAGGAAATAACATTTTATAAATAACGTAAAACAAAAAACAAAAAAAAATCAACAGCCATAAGAAAGAAAAGAAAGAAAGCAGAATTCTTTAAAACAATTCTTTTGTTTTTTCGGCTGCTTTAAGTCAGAAGTCATGTGGAATAAAATCGGCAAGACAGCTGGGTGCCAAACGGATCGATACGAACCTACCATCTGCCGATTCGAGATTTGAACAACCCATTTCGTCTTCTGGCTTTAAATTCGGGTAGCCGTCACCCATCTTCTAACATGAATTTCTCTTGGATACTTCGCCTTAAAATTGTCTCTTTTTACGAATGCCAAGCAAAAGCAAACAACAGCTTATTAAAGCGAATTGAAAAAAAAAATGATACTTCCAAAAATCAAATGGAATATTTCTATTTTTAAATTGTTAATATTTTACATCCAGGCTTAAAGTTGTAAAAAAAAATGATCTCCATAGTGTTCATGTAATTTGACTTTTATAGCAGAATCATGTAAAGATGAAAGATCAAATTGGCGCATACAGACGCCGCTTGAAGCTGATTCGATATAACGATCTTTTGCAAATATCTTACAGATAATGGCAATGATTATATCAGCCGTTGCCTTATAAGGAAACATTCGACATTCATTGACCGACCACTCACTGCTCCAGGACTGACACTTTTCTTCACTACTCGGTCCACTGGCATGGAATCAAAGTGTAGTATCTGTTCTTCTCATATCTAGTGCTAATATTAATAACTCCCTGGCCATCGAACTGGGATTTCAGTGTCTTTTATGTTTTTCCTTATGTGTAATAATAATGCTAATATTAGCATTTGTTTTTTTTGTTTTTGTTTTTTGCATTCATTGACCAATCATCTAGTGCTACTGTCTATTTTAAATAGACAAACTTCTTTGTTTGTAATTCTGTGGCGCCAATCAACAAGGTTCCAACAAGGGTGGTTTTCAAGACCCACAGCTACACTATTTTAAAGCCATTTTTAATCATTGATCTTAGAAAGCGATTGTATACAGCTGACAGTTTAGATATTTCTGAAGCAATCTGACGCTAAGCATGACATCCATATGAACGGATCGATTTGACAAGACTATTTAGGAATATTACACGAGTTTTCAGTTTAATGTTTTGGTTCTGTAGCAATTTGCGGTATTGGGCGAAACTACAACTAGTGCAGCCTATTCTGTGTTCAATTTCCTTTTCTCCTATACTAAATTTGTTATAACTGATCCATACACAGATGTGAACTGACATGAAGTAGAAAGACTACATTAAATTCATTGCTAGGTCAGTTGCTAAGAAAGTTGGTTCACTGTTGAGCACGACATTTTTTCTCTTCAGAGTCTCTCTTATATATCTAGGAATCTACCATTCATCCTTGCTATTTTCCTGGAGCTCCTTGATAAGAATGAAAGAAGAATCAGCAATATTATTGGTCCTGATCTGGCGTCTCGGCTTCAATCACTTTCCCACCACTGTACAGTTGCCTCTCAGTGCCTTTTTTATAAATACTTCCATGGAATTTGTTCAGATGAGCTCTTCACTGTGGTACCTAGATTTAAAAAAAAAAAATTTAAGCTCAGTACTAGAGTGGCATCGAGATCTCTCTATAGTTGAACTGGCTAGATGTAGCCGTAAATTCTATGCTAAAGGTTTCTTTTCTCGCACTTCTCGCTTGTGGAACACCCTTCCGGCTCCATGCTTTCCAACCAACTTTAATCTGCAAAAATTTAAATGCAATGTCAATCGCTATCAACCTGATTACTCTCTTCTGCTCATCATTAATGTTTCTGTTCCTAATTCTTTCACACCCTGTAACCCCTTGTGTTTTTGTGGCATGACTGCATAGATTGGGGTGATACCGATGAAAAGAAAATTACTAATTTCACATCCTGAATTTATATAATGGATTTGATCCATGTGCCATTATTGCTTTCGTTAAAAAATGTTAATATCAGTTATGTGCCATGCGTGATACACGCTTAGGCGATCATGTATCTTTCGATACTTGACTGAAAAGGCAGATTTTTCTTTCTGTGGTTGACCAGTTGCCATCCAAGCCTATAGAACCGGGTCTGTCCTGCTATTTACCCATAGCTGAGGGGAGAAGAAAAGGATTCATACCTTTCCCAAGGGTATTAGCACGTAAGTGAATGTAATGGATTCGACTGGAATTCGAACTCGGCCCTCCAATTCTTCAATCCGAGCCGCTATCCATTTCTCCACTGTGACGCCATAAACACGTTTATAAACATGTTAATATAAACATGTTAATAAACATTATAATAAATATTACAAAAGGATAGCGAGAACACTATGGAAGAACATTTACTGTACAACAACGTTCCAGGAAATAGTGGAGAGGCATGATCGCATACGATCTTAAGTAATTCGGCACATAAAAGAAGAACGAGCTTGAGTGAATGGATGACGGAAAAGGTTTAGGGGAGATAACAAAAAAGACAAAATTTATTTGGAGCTACAAGTGACAGGAAATTGTGGAGAGCCATGTTCGCCTACGTCGTGAAGAGACACGACACATAGATAAAAAACGAAGTTGAGTGAATGGATGGCGGAACAAGGTTTAGGAGAGATAACAAAAAGACAAAATTTATTTAGAACGACAAATAACTGGAAAAATATTCATTTAATCATTTAACGTCCTAAAAAATTTTTATTAAAACATATCAAAAAGAAAAAAAAACTTGAGTGAATGTATGATGGGGCATGGTTTAGGAGAGATAACAAATGAAGAAAATTTAATAAGATCTACAAAGAACAGGAAATTGTGGAGAGCCGTGATCGTCTACATCCTCAAGGGACACGTTAGATAGAAGAAGAAAAAATGAGCTTGACTGAATGGATGGCAGAACAAGATTTAGGAGAGATAAAATAAGATAAAATTTATTTAGAACGACATTTGACAGGAAATTGTGGAGAGCCATAACCGCCTACGTGCTAAAAGGACACGGTACATAGAAGAAGAAAAACGAAGCTGACTGAATTGATAATGGAACAAGGTTTAGGAGGGATAACAGACAAAATATATTGAGCTATAAAGGACAGGAAATTGGGGAGAGCCATGATCACCTACATCGTGACAGGTCACATAGATGAAATTTTGAATAAATCAATATATATACTTAAAGCGAACAATTCGAAAACGAATTGATTAAGAACACAAAAATAAAAAGTGATGCAAGAGAATGATGTTTTCACCCCGGATTTATTTAACTTAGCTAGTTGTCCCACCAGGATTTATTATAGAAGAGCACAATCTTCACATAAGATACGCAAATGACACGGAGTTGATGGTAGACACAGAGAGAAAACCGCAGAAACCTCCTGACAAGATAGGAAATGAAAGCATGAATAAAGGACTATTGGTTGTAAGCGGACATTTAAGTATGGCTGCCAACAAGGGAAACAGCTGAAGACGTAAGCTACGAATTGGAGTTATCAAAATTTTGCAAGTACAAGAATTTAAATATCTGGGAAGCGTTTTGACAGACGACGGAATATGTGGCACTGAAATCCGAAGACGGGTTGTGGGTAGCAAAAGATGCCTTCCAACGCTGTAACATAGCTTCCCTGTGGTAATTGTTCTGGTGAAATTTGATCTATGGTACCTAGACTTTATGAATTTAAGCGCAGCACTTGATTGGCGGCAAAGTCTCATCAATATACAGTGGAAATGGCGAGATGTAACCGTAAGCTCTATGCTAACAGTTTCTTTTCTCACACTTCTCGGTTGTGGGACTTTCTTCTGGCTTCTTGCTACCTAGCCAACTTTGATCTCCAAAGATTTAAATGCAATGGCAATCGTTATCTTCTCTCGTCTTAATTCTTCTTCTTTTATTGTCCTCTCTCCTTAATCGTAGTTTTTCTCATATTCTCTAACACTCGGTAAACCCTTGTGTCCTAGTGGCTTTATTGCCTTTGATTTTCAAACATTTAAATGTAATGTCAATCGTTATCTTCTGTCTTCTTAATTCTTCTTCTTTTATTGTCCTCTCTCCTTAATAGTAGTTTTTCTCATATTCTCTAACACTCAGTAACCCCCTTGCGTCCTAGTGGCTTTATTGCCTTTGATCTGGAAACATTTAAATGCAATATCAATCATTATCTTCTGTCTTCTTAATTCTTCTTCTTTTATTGTCCTCTCTCCTTAATAGTAGTTTTTCTCATATTCTCTAACACTCAGTAATTTTATTTGCGTCCTAAGTGGCTTTATTGCCTTTGATCTGGAAACATTTAAATGCAAT